GAAGAAATTATTGTAGCTCTTGCTGAAAACCCTCCAAGAGATGATCTCAGTAAGCTTTCATTGCAAATGCTTGTAAAAACAATGCGCGAATGTATTGAGGGCAAGAAGGTTTTTCTTGTTCTGGATGATTTGTGGTCAGATGAAAGCAAAAGATGGGAACAACTAAATCAGGGTTTCAAACCTGCTGCATCTGGAAGTAGGATTTTGGTGACAACTAGGAAGAATACAGTTGCGAAGGCCATGAACTCCGTCTGTAAATTTTCTCTAAAACAGCTGACTGACAGTGTATGTTGGAAGATAATTAGCCAAGAAGCATTTGTTGGAAGAGATAAGGAACAATGTAAAAGTTTAGAGGACATTGGCAAGGAGATTGCAAAAAGATGCAGTGGATTGCCACTAGTTGCAAAGACTCTAGGAGGCATGTTGCGGTTCAAGAAAACAAGCGATGACTGGAAAAATATCTTGGACAGTGACAAATGGCAGTTAGATTTGGTGGAAAAAGAAGTATATGTTCCTTTACTGTTGAGTTTCTATGATTTGCCCTCAGCAGTAAGACGATGCTTTTTGTATTGTTCTATCTTTCCTAAAGATTTTCTTATTGTAAGGGAGGACGTGATTTATCAGTGGATGGCACAAGGTTATTTAAGTTCTGATAAGAATGCAGAGAAGGAAATTACAGGAGCTGAGTGCTTTGATTGCTTGGTGGAACGGTCCTTCTTTCAAGATCTTGAAATATTTGAAGATGGTAGCATATGGAGATGCAAGATCCATGACATAACGGTTGACTTTGCCAGATTTTTTATGGGAAATGAATTTATGTCCAAAGATCTCCATTCTGATGTGGAGCTTTCTTTAGAGAAAACGCGCCATCTATTGGTAAGGCAGATGTCTGGGACAAGTTTTCCTATGCTTCTTGGTGCAGAAAACTTACGGGGCCTGACCATCTTTTACATTCATGAAAAAGAAACCAGTCAACAGAGCCTGACCATCTCCGACATTCATGAAAAAGAAACCAGTCAAGCTTTGTGCAAATTATTTATTGAACCAAATTGTGTGCGTTCATTGAATTTCTATTGGGGTCGAATTGATGGATTGCCAAAAGAAGTAGGCAAATTGCTGCACCTTAGATCGCTTAACTTGTCTTACAGTATGTTCGAAAGTTTGCCTGAAGCAGTATGCGAATTATGGAATTTGCAATCTTTACTTATGCGGTACTGTGAACTTCTAGGGGAATTGCCGAATAAGATGGAGAAGTTGGTAAACTTAAGGCATCTTGATATGACTGGCTGTTCGAGTTTGACTTTCTTTCCCAGAGGAATTGGAAGATTAACTTCCCTTAGGGATTTATGGGGGATTAAAGTTGGACTTCATCACACAACCGACGGCGCATTTAGATTGGGGGATTTAGAAAACTTGTGTCACCTTCGTGTTTTGATGATGAAAATAGTTGGAAGTAAGATTGATGCTAATGAAGCCAGACAGGCGAAGCTGCAAAGTAAGATTCATCTCAAAGATTTGGAGCTAATTCTTGACCCGTGGCATTCCCATCATGGAGATTATTTTATTGAAGTCTTGAACCCACCTTCACACACAAAAGTGAGAACGGGTACCGTAGGAAGAAGAGAGCTGTCGGAGATGATTCGTAAGTACTTGAACCATTGTTTCTTTTATTAGCTTAAAATGATAAGATGGAAGGAAAGGATATGGGACTGTTTGGTAGAAGTTGCTTTTAAGCTCTACTAAACAGCCTATTTTCTTTAAAAAAAAAAATTACAGATAAAAATATAAATTTTATTATTTTTTAACTTAAAAATGTGAATTTTATTAATTTTTAAATAAAATAATAAAATTTTAATTTTTTTATTTAAAGATATTAAATTTTTTAAAGGTTAATTAGGTAGTTAAAAAAATTATGTGCTATGAAACATCATCATCTAATTAATATTTAAATAAAAAATAAATATTTTTAAATAAAAAATAAAAAATTTACTATTTAT